CCATCGAGAATCTTACGGGGTCCGTTCTCCCCTGTCCCTCACGGCAATTTTTTTTTTTAAGAAAAAAAATTCAAAATAGGGTCCCCCGTCATATATTTTTGCTATGATGGACAGTGGAGATCGGAGCATCTCTGTATATGGTGTTTGTATGGAATAATTTTTCGTAAAAATGACACAACACGCTACGTTTAGTCCGAAGTATGAAGAATGGGTCAGGATAGAGTTAGAATTGGGCATATGCTTTACATATTTAAGCCGACGGTTTAGTAATTAGAATTTACATATTAAATAATAGACTGTAGCATGTTGGCCATTTTAAATTTAAATATTTAATAATAATTTAATATTAACTATATATTTAATTTAATAATTATATTTATAATAGTTTTAAAAATCCTTAATAGAAAACTTTGAAATTTAAATATTCATCATTTTATTTATTTATGATTTTGCCTTCTTACTTTTCAATATGTCGATCAAGATGAAAGTATTATAAATTAGAGTTAAGTAATAATATATTTTTAATTATTTAACAAAGTACTAAACATGTTACAACTTGATCATAATTTAAAAAATTAATTTAAGTATAAGATTTTTTAAATCCGATTTAGCCTGTAATTAATAAAATAATTAATCCATGTTTTTAAAATTAAACACACGGCTTCATATCCAGTAATTGTGAGCTTTATTATTAATATTTTTAGTGGCTGTTCTTTTGCAAACGTGTCTTTATTCCACTTATAAAGCTCCAGTAGAGTCCGATTTGGACAGCTTATTTGGTATGGTGTCGTTTTGAAAATACATCTGGTATGTTTGGTAAACTGAGTTTTGACAGATTATGTTTTTTTTCAAAACGCTGAAAATAGCATTTTCACGCCACAGCTATTCTCATTGCGTTAACAATTCCACGGCTTTCATTAAACATTAAACATAGTCCAGAATAAATAGTGGTGACGTTTTTTATCTTTTTGTTTTCAAATATAAATAGACCAAATGACAATATGAACCAGACCAATCACAGATTTACAACCGGTCATAATAGGCTGAACATGTCAAAATCATTGATCTCCATATGTAACCTTCTAGTTAATCGATGGGTATCATTATGTCATTATATAAAATGTATTTACATGTCATTTTGTCCTTCTCCTATTTGTTGGGAATCGAAGGATCCAACAATTTTTTTTTATAGGAATATTTACATGCAAACCACACAATTCCACACAATTCTTCAATTCTTCTATATTTACATATCTAATACCCAAAGTTTGATATTTATAATTAAGCACCTTAGTGTCATGCATGATAATTTATATTTCTCTTTTAAAAGGATAGTGATGATGGTATTCATAATTTGAGTAATATGCATGTAAATATAAATATTGCAAGTGCTAGGTATGTCATTATAGAAAAATTGTGTGACATGAATGTAATTTGCTAATTGGAAAAAGTCTATTTAAAGATGTTTGTCCAACCAATAGAGTTAAAATCATCCAAATAATCTAGAGAGAGGATCAACGTAAACATTGTTTGTATTTTATGCGGGATCATGTTGGCCTTTTTGAATTAGTTGTCTAGATGAAGGCAGTGTTTGGTAGCATACTATTAACAGGATTTAATCATAAATTTAACTTAAATCAAACCAAACATTGAAAAATTAAAATCAAATCCTATGTTCCGTTAAATCAAATTTTATTGCATTCCGGTGTTTTTTTCTCGTGTTTCGTTTGTTTTACAATGCAAGTCCGGTTTACTAAATCCCATTACGAGGTGAATTTATTTCGTTGTCACTCATGAGCTCATTTGTCTGCATCTAAATTTGATAAATCCTATCTAACATAAATCTAAGTTGCATGCACAAAAATTATGGAGTTATGTGGGTATGGGCTTTTTTTTTTTTTATTTCAGGCATAATTAAGCGCAATCATGAATAATCAACCACAAGTTATAACTATTAATGAAGCTATTCACTACACAATATAATATGTACAACAATAGGAACAAAGACAAACACAAATAAGTGATTAATCAAGATATAAATAACAACACATAAAAATCAAAACTAAAACACTTATAATCTTATACAATCCAACAAGTGAAATCTCATATGATAACTATGGAGCTATGGTGTAGGAGTCATTGAAGCAGATGAATAATTCAGTTCATATTGGCAAATTACTAATAACTTCTTCAACTTCATAGTTAATTCACCTGATCTCTACACACCAATAATCAAATAATATAAAAGAATTAACTACTATAATTATGTGCACAAATGAAGTATTATAAGTTAATATTAAAGTCATTAACACAGAAAATCCTCCACTTTATTAAAACATTTAGTTTCAACATGCCTTGAAAGCAATTGAATAGTTCAATTTAAAACTATTTTTTATTGAAATAAAACGACATAATCTTTAAGAAACACAAGCAGTATTGATCTCCTTTATTAATAATTTATATGCTACGTTAGCAACACTGAAGCCATAAAGCCTTTTGAGTCCATACATGAACTATACCTTCAGCACATAATTTTACAGTTCTGTTCCAGATGACAACAGCTTCACTCGACAGATGATGAGAGATTATAACTTCGAACTGGCCTGATTAACTGGAGCACTCTGAATCAAGTTATAAAAAATTGACATTAAAAACCATTGGAAATTTATATACATATCACACAATTTTTATTTATTTACATATCTAAAATCCAAAATTTGATATTTACATTTATAACACCTTGGTATTATAGACATATGCATGAAAAGGAGCATTTTACTTTTAAAAAGATCATATTGATGGTATTATAGACATATAAAACGACATAATCTTTAAGAAACACAAGCAGTATTGATCTCCTTTATTAATAATTTATATGCTACGTTAGCAACACTGAAGCCATAAAGCCTTTTGAGTCCATACATGAACTATACCTTCAGCACATAATTTTACAGTTCTGTTCCAAATGACAACAGCTTCACTCGACAGATGATGAGAGATTATAACTTCGAACTGGCCTGATTAACTGGAGCACTCTGAATCAAGTTATAAAAAAATTGACATTAAAAACCATTGGAAATTTATATACATATCACACAATTTTTATTTATTTACATATCTAAAATCCAAAATTTGATATTTACATTTATAACACCTTGGTATTATAGACATATGCATGAAAAAAAGCATTTTACTTTTAAAAAGATCATATTGATGGTATTTTTTATGAGAAGTTAAAGATTCGAGTGTTATGCATGTAAATATGAATGTTTAGGTGTTAGACATGTAAATTCATAAAAGTTAAGTGGGTTCATATCAATGTTCTATAGTAAATAAAATTTATCTACTGCTTACCAGAGGAATTCCTTTCGCTCCCCTTTCAGCAAGATAGGAACTTGGCTTGAAAAAATTTCCATAGGTCTTGGACCATTCTTCCAGCCTTGTGTTTATGTATTTGGCACCCAGAGAGTCAGCCCAAAACATAATGCCACCCCTAAAGTAGGATGTAAGAGCACAAAAGCTTTATTTAGAAGAAGAAACAATGTAAAATTTAATTAAAAAGTTGAGAATTCCGAAAATTTGACAACCTGAAGGAAGGGAAGCCCATTCCCATAATGGAAGCGATGTCCAGATCTGATGCTTTCACTGCAATTCCTTCATCGAGGACACAGCAAGCTTCGTTGACTACTGGAAGGAATATCATCTCCACTATGTCCTTGTCGGATAGCTTCGTAAGCTGAGGACAGCACAGTAAGTCATGATGCATAATTGAGACATGGAAAGCATGAAATTAATGGTGATTGGTGGATATCATGATGATGATGATGATTTAGAATGAATTTTTGTAAAGTTTAATAGTATAGGTGGAATTTGGTAACCTGGGGATCAGCCTTAACACCAGCTATTTGTCTTGATCTCTCTATATAGCTGTGTATATCGGGGTCAGGAGTAGCCTTTCGCCTGTCGTCATACAAATAGAACCCCTTGCGAGAACTTTCACCTGCCATGGATCAAACATGATGTAGTATTGCCCACCTTGAATTTTAAATTTTCTCTTAACGAGTTACAAATTAATTTATTATCAATAAATAAATAATTTATTACCCCCTAGACCCACACCAAAAAAAGGCCAATATTTAAAAAAAATTTATAACATTTCGAAAGAAACATTAGATATAAGAAATTTATATACCCTTAAAGAAAAGACTACTACGCCCCTAGACGTACCATTGCCACACTAAGCCCTACTACTTGCATAGAATCACTATGAAATAATCCATATAGACATGTACAAAGTCTTGTTTTTCATGGCGTGGAGTTTATCAACGTCCGTAGTTGCACTTTTAAATATTATGCTTGTTACACTTCATCTCACGAAGCACTCTATTGACATGTACAAAAATTTCAATTTATATGCTCATCTTTCATTAGTTTGAGATAGAGAATTTATTGGAGCTGTTGGCAATACCACCACACGATAAACAAAAGAACTTTTAAGCGGTCCTCACTATGATCCCAAAGACATACATGCTGTGGTAGACAAGGCACTACAACCACATTCTATTGCCTACCCTACTATGCCCCAAAAACATGCTTAAGTAGTTGTTGAGCGAAGTGAGTGAATGAGATATTTAGCATGTAAGTATGTGTTTTCAAGTAAAAATAGCATAATTTGACAGTCCATTACCATTAATATAATTTTTTGCTACAAAAATCTCGCATAAGAAGAAATAGAGAAAATTGGATGAAAGTTAATATATCGGCTAGGTTATGAAAGAACTTGAGTGCAAATTAATAGAGAACCTTGGCGCTAGATCTATAGCACTGCAGTGTTATGACCAATGCCTCAGGGTTGAAAGTGGAGTGTCACGGAGCTAATCCGAAGGAAAATTTGCTTAGAAATCCGAGAGTTAAGCACTACAATGCTAGAAAGTGGCATTGCAATGCCAAAAGATCGAGACAGAAGA